ATAGCCCGAGAGCTTCTAACTGGTGTTCAGACCCTGTCCCTTGGGGTCCCTCACTCTCTGGCCACTTTTCTCTGGGAAACCTTCAGTGGAATAGCTCACTATGACATCTTTTGGCCTTCACTCGGCAAGAATGTGTCTTTTATTTAGATCCTCTCTTGCTCTTTTCTCCTTGACCTCTCATTTCCTTTTTTTTTACTCTTTTTTTTTTTTTAATATTTATTCATTATTTGAGAGAGAGAGAGCACGAGTGGGGAAGGGGCATAAAGAGAGGAGACACGGAATCTGAAGCAGGCTCCAGGCTCTGAGCTGTCAGCACAGAGCCTGATGAGGGGCTCAAACCCATGACCCGCGAGATCATGACCTGAATAGAAGTTGGATGCTTAACCAACTGAGCCACCCAGGGACCCCTCCTTTTTTTTGCTCTTGACCTAATCTCAAGCATAAATGCAAATGCACCCTCTGAAATTCAGATTATTCAGATACTTACATTTATTTTTCCTTGTCAGAATGAAAGCACTAAATGAAAAAAAAAATCTTATGGTAAATTCTCAGACCTTAAAATATTGGCAATAAATTGAAACATTAAATAACCCCAGATGCTGGTGAAAGTATTTATGTTGGGAGATGCATTAACTGTGGCCTTTCAGGAAGGCTATTTCTTCTGTAAGAAATGAAAATTCTGACCTAGGGATTTTACGAATGACATCCTTAAGTAGGGGCACACGTACCCCAATGTTCATAGCAGCACTTTCAACAATGGCCAAATCATGAAAACACCCTAAATATCCATCAGCTGACGAATGGATCAAGAAGATCCATTCTATACAATGGAATACTACATGGCAATGAGAAGGAATGAAATCTGGCCATTTGTAGCAAGGTGGATAGAACTCGGGGGTGTTAATGCTAAGTGAAATAAGTCAGGCAGAGAAAGGCAGATACCATAAGCTTTCACTCATAAGTGGAACAGGAGAAACTTAACAGAGGACCCTGGGGGAGGAGAAGGGGAAAAAATAGTTAAGGAGAGGGAGGGAGGCAAACCATGAGAGACTTTTAAATACTGAGAACAAACTGAGAGTTAATGGGGATGGGGGAGAAGGGAAAAGGGGTGATGGGCATGAAGGAGGGCACTTGTTGGGATGAACACTGGGTATTATATGGAAACCAACTTGACAAACTATAAAAGAAATAAATCAAATTTAAAATTAAAAAAAAAAAAGAATGGCATCCCATATACATACCTTTGTAGTTCTGAAAAAGGGAATATATACAAGCATAGTCACTGAAGCATGCTTCTGGAAATAACACCAATGCCTGTGAGCTGTTGAATGAAAGATGTTTAAGAGCCTCTGTTGATGAAAAAAGTTGAATTGCAGAACAATATTTCTATCACGATCTACTTTGGAAAATAGCATGTATCCAGTTGGCATTGTGTTTTAGTAACAGACTAAAAATAAAAGTGGTTTAGTGAAGACAGAAGCTTCCTTTTCTCGCATCAGTGCTGCCGTGAGGTTGGCAGTCTAGGGCTGGTATGTTGATGCCCAGGTGTTATGGGAGACCCAGGCCTCTCTCTTCCCATTCCACCCACATGGCTAATGATTTCCATTTTCAAGTTTCTGTCTTGGTCCAGACATCTGTAGTAGCCTTTAAGTCTTTATGGGGAGGGGGTTAGGAAGAGTAAGGACAGGTAGAAAAGCCAGAATAGGACCCCTTCCAGATGATTCCGTCCCTGAAAGCAGACTTCCTTGAAACTGAACACAACACTTCTGTTTATACTCATTGATTAGTACGGAGTCACGTGGCCACATGAGTTTACACAAAAGGCAGAGAACCCTGGTAGTTTATTTGGGGTGGCAGTCAAGGTCCTGGTGCTAAGGAGAAGGGAATAATGGATGTTAGGTAAGCGTCGCCATGTCTGTCACTATATAAATAATGCTTTCAGGCATCATGGCACAGAACACTTCTGTAAGCACCCATGAGAGCCTGTTACCATGGGGTACCCTGGAGAGTAGAGTAGGGAGAGAGCGTGAGTGAGGGTAAGGAGAGCGGAGGAGAGCGTGAGTGAGGGTAGGGAGAGCAGCTGCATTTTACCTTATACCTGGCTGTACTGTTGGATATTTTTTTCTCAGGGGCACATTGTACTTTTATAATTGTGGTAAAGAGAAACTCAACAACCACAGAAACCCATGGTTGATGAAGGAAAGTATTAGGTGACCTAGCTGATAATCCGTAGCAAGCCACAGTTTTATTGTTAATGTGTTTCTCGGTGGCAGGAAAGTATTATGGTAACTCCTTAAGAGGACCCGAGGAGCGAGCCTTAATTGTCCAGACTTAGGAATCATTATGGTCCCAGAAGGCAGTGGGGCAGATATGTTTTGAGGTTTCTTATGACCTTTGTATTTTGTGACTTACTGCATTTATGGAGTAAGACTGACCTTGGTATGAGTTCTCAATTCTTGTGCCGGCCGACCGCGCTCATTAAGAATGCTTACCTAATGCTAGGCCCTGGTGTCACTGAGCAAAGTGGCTCCTTTCTAAGGTATAACCGCAGTGGGAAGTCATAAAACATAAAGCCTAAAAGTGCGTGTTTCACTGACATCTGTGTATTCATAGATATTAATAGGAATTTATATAGTGTAACTTAAATGAATCCTCAGACCTTTATAAATAGCTATAAAATTTTATTGACTCAAGGAGGGCTTTTGGAATTTTTGCCTAATGGTTTTGCTGGGCACTGTTTTCTCATTCAGGTGGTATGTTCTACGTTTTTAATAGATCTGTCATTCCCTGCGGCCCCATACAGAGTACAAACCATTAACATGGTTTTCAGAGTGCCATTTTGGAAAGACAGTGTTTTGCACCTCTCTGCCTGGCTTCAGTAAAACAAACTACTTTTCACCATTTGTTCAGGGTGGTTTGAACATCTGCGTATGTATCCGGTTCAGACGAGTCAAGAATAACTTCACGTCTATCAGCCTCCTTTTCTAGCGGTGTTTATTGGGCATATATTAGCGCAGGGGGTTCAGTTGTTACAGTTAAGAGCAATTGGTATGTTTCTTACTCTATAGGAATTTAAAGTCTGTCATAAACAGTAGCAACATAGGCAAGGATAAACGAAGCCAAATTAACCCCTTCTGGCTGGGAATCCCAATGTTCTCCTGAGGTCATGGGTGTGATTACATCCACATGAGGGCGCATCTCTATTTCTGTCTGGATTAATGTGCAACGTTTGCCGTCAGTACTCAGTCCCACACTTTGAGAGCTGGATAAAACCACCTTGAGCCTATATGGTGGTTCTTCTCCTTTTTTGAATCATTGACTCCTTTGAGAGCCTGGTGAAAAGCGTGTATCTCTCTGGCAGAATGAATGAGTGCATCTATACAGATTATTCACATATGTGTTTATAAGGTTTCTGGACCATTTAAACCCATTGACAGAGAAGTCCTGATCCTCCTCAGCTTTTCATTTTCATAGATGAATAAACTGAGGCCTGGAGAGACTCGGTGACTTCCCGATAGTGCTTTGGTACACGTTTTCAAGATTCCAGCTGCACTTTGGTATCTGTAGAACACAATGCGATGTGGCCAACGTCATGTGGAAATGCCCTGTGCTCTGCCGAAGAAAATACATTCCAGCAAAAACGTTCATCAGCGAGAAGTACTAAAAGATTGAAAAATAGAAGCAGTGACAATTTCCCCAACTCTTTGTGCAAGCTAAAGCCAGGTGTCACTGAAAAAAGTGGCTCCTTTATTTTTTTCTCTCTCTCTATTTTTTAAGTTTATTCATTTATTTTGAGAGAGAGAGCACAAGCAGGTGAGGGGAAGAAGAGGAGAGAAGAATCTTAAGTGGGCTCTGTGCCATCAGTGAAGAGCCTGATGTGGGGCTTGAACTCATGAACTGTGAGATCGTGACCTGAGCCGAGATTAAGAGTCAGACACTTAACTGAGCTACCCAGGTGCCCTAAAAAGTGGTTCTTTTTAAAGATACAACCACAGTGAGAAGTAATAAAATATAAAGTATAAAAGGGTGTATTTCACTGACATCTATGTATTCATATATATTTATGGGGATATATATATAGGGTAAACTAAATGAATCCTCTGACCTTTATAACCTGACCGTTATAACCTATATAACCCTTATAACCTTTATAATCCTATAACCAAAATAGGAAGGAAAGAATAGGAAATAGGTTTTCCTAAAAAAAATTGTTAATGTTTATTTGTTTATTTTTTAAAATTTTTAATGTTTTATTTACTTCTGAGAGAGAGACAGCGTGAGCAGGGGAGGGTCAGAGAGAGAGGGAGACACAGAATTTGAAACAGTCTCCAGGCTCTGAGCTAGATGTCAGCACAGAGCCCGACACGGGGCTCGAACCCACGAACTGTGAGATCATGACCTGAGCCAAAGTCAGACACTTAACCGACTGAGCCACCCAGGCACCCCAATGTTTGTTTATTTTTAAGAGACAGAGAGAGACAGAGTGTGAGTGGGGGAGGGGCAGAGAGATGGGAGGCACAGAACCCGAGGCAGGCTCCAGGCTCTGAGCTGTCAGCACAGAGCCCAATGCGGGACTCGAACCCACAAACCGTGAGATCATGGCCTGAGCCGAAGTCAGATGTTTAACCGATGGAGCCTCCCGGACGCCCTGGGGAATAGGGCTTATATGCTTGGTGTGTGGCTGACCTCACCCTGTGCTGTGCTGGGGAGCTGCCAGGTTAAGCCTCCACCCCCCACCCAACCCCAAGTTCAGCTGCAGGACGATTTTCCCTTCCTCCTTATCTAGTGTTAGGGAGTATCAAGTACCTGTTGGAGACCAGGTGTCTGGGAAGCTGTGGCCTGAACACAACGCTGCAAAAATGTGCATTTGCCGTCACACTGTGTTTTGTGTTGTTGGTAGAATCAGGGGTTCTGACTTTTCTGTTTTCCTTTTTTGCTTGTTTTGAGTGGCTGTAATGTGGCATGACTGACATTTCCGCCCCCCTCCTTTTCCTTGGCAGCATTTCCTGGGCAGTCCAGAGCCGTCTTCTGTCCAGCTCTGGGTCTCCTTTGGCCGGAAGCCCATGCGAGCAGCCCAGTTTGTCACAAGACATCCTATTAATGTGAGTGGGGTCCACTTGGGGGTGGAAAGAAGTGTTCTCGTCCCCAGGGAGATGTCAGGGGAAGGGTGTTGCAGGAATGTCCTTCTGGGTAGCCACTGGATGGAGGCCCCCTGAAGTCACTTTCTAGTTAGGTCTCTAGAAAGAACCATTATGCTTTGGACATCTTGGTCTGTTTTTTTCCCTCTTCCCTGTTTGAAACACAGCTGAGTGGGAGCCTGAATTTGCTTTCCATGGAGAAGGATTAGCAGAGAGGTTTGGGACCGGAGTCAATGGGCTCCGTGTGCCAGTACTGAAGGATTGGGGAGCTAGTGACCACAGTTATTGATTAGGCACCTGCTGTGTCCCTTACAGATGGCTGGGTTCCAAAACTGGATAACATTTGGGTCCCACCCTTTTAGAAACATACAGGTTGGAGATGCAGAGAACTGAGCAGAGGAGGAAACCATATGGAGTCAAATGCTTGACTTCAGGATGTGCGTATTAGCACGTAGAGACCGATATGGCAGATCAGCATTGGCTGGGGTCATCAGAAAGGTGACCACAGGCAGGAGGTAGCATTTAAAAAAAATTTTTATATGTTTATTCATTTTTGAGAGACAGACATGGAGTGCAAGCAGGGGAGGGGCAGAGAGAGAGGGAGACACAGAATCTGAAGCAGGTTCCAAGCTCTGAGCTGTCAGCACAGAGCCCAAGACGGGGCTCAAACTCATGGACCATGAGATCATGACCTGAGCTAAAGTTGTATACCCAACCAGCTGAGCCACCCAGGCATCTGAGGTGGCATTTTTTTAAAAATGTTTATTTAATTTGAGAAAGAGAGAGAGTCAGGTGCACAAGCGGGGTAGGAGCAGAGAGAATGAATCCCAAGCAGGCTCCATGCACAGCTCAACGCAGGGCTCGATCCCATAACTATGAGATCATGACCTGAACTGAAACAAGAGTTGGATGCTTAACTGATTGAGCCACCCAGGAGCCCCAGGAGGTGGCATTTGAAGGCCTTGCTTCTAGCAGTGGGTATGATGGAAGGCTGGTAGCTTCAGGTGGAGAACGCTCTTATCAATTCTTTGCTTTTTATGGGTTCTGCCTTCCTTTAGTACCTCAGAGAAAAGGAAAGGAAAGGAAATGCATGTTAATGTATACTGTGCTTTGTACTAACGATAGATCTCCTGGGAAAAAGCGGGATGTGACATTATTCACCAAAAAGAGGTTCTTAGGTCATTTATGGAGTTCAGCGGCCCACTCTTTTGCACCCCATTTGCCAGGAAGGGGCTTGCTCCAGCCGCTAGGCAGCCTCAGCTCCCCAACCTTGGTAAAAGCTGGCCAACCTTTTACCAAAATTTGGGAAGCTGTCCTTGGAACATTTGGAAGTCATTACTTTAGCGTCCATAGGGAAAGTCCACTACACAGGTGTGGTTTTTTTTATTTTTATTTTTTTATTTTTATTTTTTTTTACAAATAGTTTATTGTCAAATTAGTTTCCACATAACACTCAGTGCTCATCCCCAAAGTGCCCTCCTCCATGCCAATCCCCCCTCCCTCCCACATCCATCAGTCCTCAGTTTTTGTCAGCATTCAAGAGTCTCTCATGGTTTGCCTCTCTCCTTTTCCCCCACCATTTCCACCCTTCTTCTCCCCCTTGTTCCTCCGTCAAGTTCCTCCTAATCCTCCTATACGTGCAAACATATGATATTTGTCCTTCTCTGCCTGACTTATTTCGCTCAGCATAACACCCTCAAGGTCCATCCATGTTGCTACACATGGCCAGATTTCATTGTTTCTCATTGCCATGTAGTATTCCATGGTATAGATAAACCACATCTTCTTGATCCATTCATCTGTTGATGGACACTTAGGCTCTTTCCATGTTTTAGCTATTGTGGAGAGTGCTGCTATGAACATTGGGGTACATGTGAGTTTTTTGACTCGTGTGTATTTTGGTTCTTGATTCCAAAGGAATATTACATCGCAGATGCCTCCGAGGACCAGGTGTTTGTGTGTGTCAGTCATAGTAACAGCCGCACCAACCTGTACATCTCGGAAGCGGAAGGGCTGAAATTCTCCCTGTCCTTGGAGAACGTGCTGTATTACAGCCCAGGAGGGGCAGGCAGCGACACACTGGTGAGGTAAGGAGACCGCGAGGCCCTCCCCGGGTCTCTTACATCAGCACAACCACATCGTGTTGGGTGTTCTTCAACATTACCTGCGCGTTTGGACTCACCTGGCGAGTTTTTGGAAACCCCGATGCCTGGCTCATGGTGCTGTTTAACCAGTTTGGGGTGTAGCTGGGGGAGGAAGATTGAAAAACTTTTTTAAATGTTTATTTATTTTGGAGAGACAGATAGAGCACAGGTCGGGAGGGACAGAGAGAGAGAGAGAGAGAGGGAGACACAGAATCTGAAATAGGCTCTGAGCTGTCAGCACAAACTCAGGGGGCTCAAACTCAGGAACAGCGAGATTATGAGAGCCAAAGTCAGACACTTAACTGACCGAGACACCCAGGAGCCCCTGGGGTATGACGATTTTAAAAAGCCCTTCTGGGGGATGAGATGCCAGGGTTGAGCACTGCTGCCCTGGGTGACACTTGGAGTCACAGCCGTGTCAGCCACTCCCTGGGTTCCTGTCCTTCAGTTGTCTGGCTTTGTGGTCTCTGAGTCAGTGGGAAAAAGCACTTGGAAAATGTCAAGCTGTCACGGATGGGCTGGTGTGGGTAGCCATGGGGCCTGGCCTCCAAGTGACTCAGGTTAATTGACTTTTTTTTTTCTTTGTAATTGCAAGTATAGCTCTGGGTGTCTCCTGAAAGGCACCAACATCATTGATCTTTTACCGGTACATCACATGCTTGGAGTTGTTTTGTAGTAATGGACGTTCCCTGGGCTGGAGAGGGGTCGGGGCTCTGCAGGGATGCATGCCCCCAACCCGTGGTGACCCTTGAGGGCCAGGAGTCCACTTCTCACTTGTATGACAAGTCCGTCTTCTGTGAGGCGTCTGACTGTGGTGAGGATCACTCTCAGCTTCTGGAAAGAGCCATCCAGTGAAGCTGGCTGGAGTACAGCATGGTCCGACTCCAAGGCCACAACCGCCAGGTCAGAGGGCGTGGCGTTGCTGTCCGTGGCCTCTCATCAGGCAGATGATGGATGTAGTCACGACTTCTTTCCACAAGGACGCTGCTGCTCGGGGCCAGACCTTGTTCCAGCCTCAGCAGTGAGATAATGTGGCCAGCAGTAAAAAGTCAAAACCGGGTGTCCGTTCCCGCAGAGCTTTTGTTCTCACTGGGGGAAGATGGAACATGAACAGATATGTGGTTTGCGAGGTGATGGGAAGCAAGCAAAGCAAGTTAAGAGGACGGGATTATGGGCATGTTATTTCATACAGGCTGGTCATGGAAGGCTCTTCTAGAATAGTGACATTTCAGCAGGTGCCCGAGTCACGTGAGGGAGGGAGCAGGCAGAAACCTGGGGAAGGGCACTGCAGGCAGAGGGAACAGCGTGCCCAGAGGCTCTGAAGCTGGGCTCTGTTGGTTTATTTTAGGAGCAGCGAGAAGGCCAGGGTGGATCCAGCAGCTGGAGGAGGAGAGAGAGAACCCAAGAGGCGGGATCTAAGAGAGCAGGGCTCACAGTGTAGAAGGACTTCAAGAGCGTGCACAGAACTTACTGTTTTTCTTTCTAAGTACAATGTGGAGGGTTTTTTTTTTAATGTTTATTTTTGAGAGAGAGAGAGTGCGAATGGGGGAGGGGCAGAGAGAGAGAAGGAGACTCAGAATCCGAAGCAAGCTCCAGGCTCCAAGCCGCTAGCACAGAGCCCGACGTGGGGCTTGAACCCACAAACTGAGATCATGACTTGAGCTGAAGTTGGACGTTCAACCGACTGAGCCACCCAGGCACCCCAGTGTGGGGGGTTTTAACCAGAAGATAGACATCATCTGATTTAACCTGTTCTATTTTTTAAAAAACCATCTTAAACACTGTGAATTGCATTATGTAAAGGAGAGTACATGAAATGTAAATGGACAGTATGATCAATAATTTCAGGTGAATACTCATGTGACTTATCTTTGAGGAGCCATCTGGATGCTCTGGGCAAAGTAAACTCTGGGAAGACTCTGGGAAGCAGGAAGCCTGGCTGTAGAAGTGTCAGAGAAATCCAGGCCAATGGGGATTGCTATGGGCCGGGCCCAGGGCAGTTGTAGAGATGAAGGAAATGAGCAAATGCTGATGGTCTGCTGGTAGATTTGCTGCTTGGCTGTGGAGACTCAATGGCCCACTGCCACTTGGGCCAAGTCATTGGAAGAATGATGCCCAGTGTTGAGTCAGGGAGTCCGGGAGGGCTGGGTGAGGGGCAGGTGTCGGGCAGGGGAAAGAGCAAGACTTCGGGTTTGGAATCACCAGGTTGGAGATGCCTACTGGATGCCCACGGGGAGAACTTTCTATGTGGTCTCTGATAGTGCTTTCCCACTCCTTGTTTCGGCTCATTCGGAGGTGTGTCCTATTTTGTGCCTTACTCCCCCTCACCCCCCAGTGGAGATTCACGAATCATTTATTACTCAGTGTGTGTTAATGTGTTGTGAATCATTCCTACCACGATTCAGCCTCAGGTTTTTCTCGTTTGGTCAGTGACAGCCTCTTTGGGCTGGTTCCTGTGTCCTTTTTGTTTTCTTTTTAAGATAATTTATTGAGGTGAAATTCACATAACATTAGCTTACCCATTATGTATAATATTTGTTTTTGAGGGAGAGGGAGAGAGAGGGAGGGAGTGCAAGCGGGGGAGGGGCAGAGAGAGAGGGAGACAGAATCCGAAACAGGCTCCAGGCCCCGACCTGTCAGCACAGAGCCCGACGCGGGGCTCAAACTCACAGACTGCAAGATCATGACCTGAGCCAAAGTCAGATATTTAACCCCCCCGAGTCCCCCCCCCCCTCAGGCAACCCTAGATTAACGATTTTAAAGTGAATGAGTCTGTGGCATTTAGGATATTCAGTGTTGTGCAGCCATCAGCTTTAATAGAATTCCAAAACATATTCATTTCCCCAGAAGAAAACCCCTTACCCACCAAGCCATTTCTCTTCACTCTCCCCTCCTCCCTAGCCCCTGGCAGCCACGAATCTTCTTTTCTGTCTCTGGATTTACCTTCTCTGGATATTCTGTGTAAACAGAGTCATAGCGTAATATGTGATCTCTGTGTCTGGCTTCTTTCACTCTTCCTGATGTTTTCAAGGTTTATCCACAGGTCGGCTGCATGTGCCAGTGCTGAATACTACATTCCTTTCTTTTTTTTTTTTTTTTATCATTAATTATGAACCATTATTCCTCAGGCCTTTTATAGATTCTGTTTTGATTTTTTTTCCCCCCACCTTTGAGAGCCTCTGGCTATAGAGCAGATAAGTCACAGCTTGCCAAGGGTTTCCTTATCCTCCACATTTGTCAGGTATTGGATACCTCAGGGTAGAGCTGAAGCCAGAAGCCATGGAGAGTGGCTCCCCAGGAGGTAGTAAGCTCGGTTATGTGACCCTAGGGTCCTGCCATATACACACCTGGTCCTTTATATGGTCACAAAGGTCACTCCCGCCCTGTCTGTACATACAGTCCAGTTAGGAAATTGGAACTAGATTTATGTATGCATCCACAGACCCACATAGGCTCAGCCTTCCTAGAGCTTTCTTCAGGCTTTATCTCAGCGCTAGAGATCTTCAGATATGCTCACCTGAGTCAACTTTTGTCACCTACTTCTCCATCTCAGTGAGATGAAATGGGATAAGGGTGTGTTAGCCGATTAGGGGGGCAGGCTGGTTAGGAAAAACCAAACCAATGAAACACAGCACTTATGTGGTGTTTGAGCTGTTCACTGACCCAATAGGAAAAGTGCCAAAGAATTCATCTTAATTTGCTTCGAGAACCAGAGAAGGAGTACCTAACGGGGTGACCCTGGCAGTGGGGAGATGTGCTGAGCAGAAAGGTCATGGAAAGTGGTGTCTGGGTGGGGGGCCAGGTGTGGAGAGGAGATGGGAGGCCTGGGGGGTGAGGTGGAGGGCTTCTGAGGAGGACCTCAGATGAGGGTGAAGCAGGCTTGCATTTTGCACGGAGGGTGGTCGAGGGGCCCTGGTGCGTGGCCGGGGAGCAGGGGACAGGTGCTGTTGTGAGGGCTTATGAGAGGAAATGTAAGAAAATGGATGAACAGCTCAGGGAGAGGTGGGTTGTCGCAGGGCCAACGGGAGCTCACAGGACAGTCTGGCGAGCGCATGAGGCACAGAGGACAAGTTTCTGCTTGGAACCGAGAGCTACAAATCCAAGGGAGTGACTGGAGGGCAGAAGCAGAGCTCTTTTGGTGAGAGAAAGCCAGGCCTCCCACATGCGTGAAGGAAGCCAGTAGACCTGATGGTGGCAGTTTCTTGATGGTGGAATACAACACCGTACTGCTGAGGCACATAGAGAGCAGGTGGAGGATAGACCTTGAACTGATTTCTAAAGAAGCAACCCAGAAAATAATTCCAGTTGACCTAAGGAAACCACATGTCAGAATATTGGATCTCAGGGTGTCTGGGTGGCTCAGTTGGTTAAGTGTCCGACTTTGGCTCAGGTCATGATCTCATGGTTCATAGGATTAAGCCCCACATCGGGCTCTGTGCTGATAGCTAAGAGCCTGGAGACTGTTTTTCTCTCTCTTTCTCTCTCTCCCTTTCTCTGTCCCTCCACTGTTCACACTCTGTCTCTCAAACATGAATAAACGTTAAAAAAAATTAAAAAATTTCCTTATCTGCCTCAGAGCCTGTGGCGTGCTTCTTTCTGTCTGAGGAGGCAAAGCACTCAACCAGCTCAAGATTTGTACAGCGGATAATGGAAAAAAGCAGTTCTGTGTTTTGTTTTAAAAACAAAGTCCAGTGGCTCAGAACTCTTCTAAATAAAGGACACACTCCCAGTGTTAAAAACCACGTGTGAAGTCTGCTTAGCACTTCTCAGTGATCTGTTGCATTTGATTCATGTGTACCATTTCAGTGCAAAAATTCCAGTGAAATCGGTGTCCTAGCACGGAAGTTCAGGCCTGGGAGGGCCTTATTCTCTGCGTCGCTGTTAATAAGTTAACCTCAAGTTTCTAGAACCATCTTGCCTACTTGGGTAGGGATTCTGCTCTGCTTTCTGACAGAAACCCTATGGACTTCTCTCTGATCAGCATGTTCGACAATTAGTTGGAAGTCTAAGGCTGTGTAAGCTGTAGCACTGTATCCCTGCAGATTGGGGTAAAGTCCCAGCACTTTTACTAGCATCTGGCAAGGCTGGCTATATTGTTTTCCTTTTTTTCAAGGCTCACTGGAGGATTTAGGGTGAAAAGCCTCCTGGCCTTCAAAGTTAAAAAAACAATCACATTAAAAAAAGAGAGAGAGATTATTCAACTATAAAAAGGAATAGGGTGCTGTTACAATATGGGTGAATGCTGGAAACATGGGAAAGTAACCATAAGGCCACACAGCATGATTCCACTGATAATGAAACACTCAGAATAGGCAAACCCATAGAGATGGAAAGCTAATGTGGCTAGTGCTTGCCAGCACCTGGGATGGGAAGGAGACAGGGGGAATGCTTGTTAGTGAGTATGGGGTTTCTTTCTGAGATGATGGAAAGGTTCTGGAACCAGATAGTGATGCTGGTACACTGTGATGCTGCAAATGTACTTAACGCCATTGAGTTCTGTCCTTTAAAACAGTTAAATTTCATGTTATTTACAATAAAAACATACCGAGGAAATATCCGTACTCGTTCCCAGCTGTTTATTTTCTTTTACTGTAGGTATTTTGCAAATGAGCCGTTTGCCGACTTCCACCGGGTGGCAGGGTTACAAGGAGTCTACATTGCTACTCTGATTAACGGTTCTATGAATGAGGAGAACATGAGGTCAGTCATCACCTTTGACAAAGGCGGCACCTGGGAATTTCTTCAGGCTCCAGCCTTCACAGGATATGGAGAAAAAATCAATTGTGAGGTATAGATGCTTTCACCTTGTTTGGGCTTTTAAAACTAATTTTTATGTGGAGTTCTGCCCTTACAGTTCCCAAACTCAGCACCAAGGCAGCACTGTCTTTCTTGACTTAGCTCCTAGTTTCAACATTAGTCCCTGCTGTATTTCTTGGGGAGGCATAATTCCTTTGTGAAGCTGGATTTTTCTAGAAGTCGATATGATAAAAGGCAAGCAAGAAAATCAGGGTGGAGCAGGAAATCACATTGGTATGGTTCTAAACTTTGAGAAATTGTGTTGTACCCAGCAGGTACACACATCCCATATTAAGTAATTGTGGTTATTTAAGAATGAAATAGAAATTTTGTTTTCTTTCTCTATCTCTGTGGGTGTATACATGCATATATAATATAGTATATATATAAAATATATATTATTAATATTATGTACATGTATACTGTTAATTTCAAGTGCTACTAAGTTATAAGAGCTGTAAGTATGTATACTTATTTAAGTTGCTTGGTGTTAACTACTTAAAAAACAAATGCTGGTATTTCTTCTGGCCTGAGGCTGCTGTAAAAAATTCATGGGGACCCTAATTGTGTTGTGAACCAAGAAAGTTTGGGAAACTCTGGCAGCAGTATTTCCGTGGAACTTTAAAAAAAAATACCTTCTTGAATATAATTTCGGATTCTACAATTTTCCCAATCAGTGGGTTCATCTGAAAAGTGGAGAATGTGACAAGGTATTATTTGGTCTCCCTAAAGGGTTCCCACTCTCCTAGGTGGCTCCTTTCTTGTCCCTTGGAAGAGCAGTCTGTTCTTGACTTTGAGTTCCTTGGCCTTATGTGACATCCCTCCCACACCTCCATTTTCACCTTGCATAAGGGATCTGGGGTATATAAAGTAGGTGGGCAGAAGGAACTCAGAAAAACTCAAGTAGCTGCAATTCTTGGAAAAACAGTAGCAGTTACCTGGTCTTTTGGGTTTTTTAATTTTGTGTGTCCATGATTATGTTGACTCTACTATATGCCGTATCTGTGGCCATTGGGAAGTTTTTTTTTTGGAGACTCTTGCTCTCCCTGGACTTCTTGATTACTCTTCCCTATTTGGCAGCAGGTTTCAACTTAGCACATCGAGTCTAACTTTGGTAAGAGGCAGGATATAAGTAGATACAGACAAATGCACAAGTGCTTCTTTATTCAGGGGTGTCTGCTAGATTTGGGGAGCCCTTCCTGAGCCTGTGCGGAAGACCTCAGTGTGTAGTAGGGGTTTGAGCCCTAGTTATATAGAATTAATGAGACTGTTGAAACTCAGCTCACTCCCACGACTGATCTGTATCTGTTTATTTATGGATTGTACAACAGCTGGTCGAGCTTTTAGTTTCTGCTTGTGATCTTAGGTAGTGAAAGAACAGGTTGGTTGGCAAATGTTTCTCCGAGACCCAACCTAATTTTCTCTAGTATCATTTGCCAAACTGTGATGTCAGCAAGATGGACATTTGTTAAGTCCCTTTGTTATAAAAATAAGCTTATATTGCAAACCATGTCAACTTTTACCTATTAACATGAGCACACACAGAGTTACCTTGTCTAGAATACCAGTCGTGGCAGAATAGCATTTGACCATGGCATTCTGGCCGAGAGAATCAGGCCTGACTGCCCAGCAAACAGCTTTGTTTGCAGAACTATTAAAATCCGACTGTAAGTGACGGAGGCCAGTCTGAGTAACTAGTTTTGCAGTGGACGTTCATTACAGGGTTGATTCTTTGGACAAATACAGACTATGTCAAAATTGTTTTAAGGTCTCATGTGTTATACATCTGGGAGCTTATCAGGGAGACTTTATGACTCCTGCTTCTTGGTTTTTCCTCTGATGGCATTGCTTAAATCATATTTGAAATAGATCTCCGACTTAAAAAATAAATACCATGAAATTATTTAATTTCTCTTCAGTCCCGAGTCACGCAAGAGTATCTCTGGGTAACACAGAGGGAGTGATAGATAGCCTTCGACCTATGTGAGTTGACACTGATTTCTAATTATTATTCTCTGAGAGTCTCAGAAGGAATTTTTAAATTTTGCTTTTCTCTTTTCTTCAGTGAGAGGCATATATGTGGTTCAGGTAATCACATCCACCTGGGGTTGGGGGTGGGGCGGGTGGGGACAGCTGGGCCCTGAGTCTGGTTTCCTCTGGGCGAGATTTCCTTTCTCTGTGTGTGGCTGCAGTGTCTGCACAGGCCTCAGTGTTCGGAGGAGCTGGAGGCATCGTGTCCCATGCTGACAGGGTCTGGAATTTGTGTCCCGTAGCTCGCCCAGGGCTGTTCCCTCCACCTGGCCCAGCGGCTCAGTCAGCTGCTCAACCTTCAGCTTCGGAGAATGCCCATCCTGTCCAAGGAGTCCGCCCCTGGGCTCATCATTGCCACTGGTAAGTCCGCTTCGCTGCTTCCCACTAGGGGTTAAGGTCTTTGGTTACACGCAGCTGAGTACTGGGTGACCATGGACATCTGCTGTAGCTATTGCCATTTGTGGTTTTGAGACCTTCACAGTCACCAAATACCGCTCAGAATTTCTGGTCAAGCAAGGTGAGTATCTGACATAATCCTGAAATTAACATCCAACATTCCTCTTGCGTTTTAGGTTCAGTGGGAAAGAACTTGGCAAGCAAGACCAACGTGTACATCTCTAGCAGTGCAGGAGCCCGGTGGCGAGAGGTCAGCTCCGCCCCCAGTCCACCCTCACCTCCCCCCCCCCGCCCCTACCCCCACCCACCCTCACCCCTGCCCCCTGCCCTCAACCTCAGCCTGTGTTCTTGTATGTCTGAGAACTTGATTGCACCTCAACATTTCAGGAACACGAGTGGCTTGAGGTGGAGGTCAGTGCCGCCAAGTATGACCATAAAACAAAGAGGGGAACCCAGAGCCACCCGTGAGCGTCAGCTGTGCTGACTTGTGTTCACACCTTGTAACGTGGGCTCGGGGTGTTGCCAACAAATAGTACTTTAAATCAAAAACAGACCTTTTCTTCCCCCTGATTTGTAAATGTAACTAAATATCCCAAGAGGACAAAGCAGTGCCCATTTTGCAGTGCCTGGCATGGTGTGGGCACTCCGCAGCCATTCGCAGACTCTATCAGCAAATGGCAGTGTGGCTATAGTGGTGTCTGGTGTGAAGTTGGCTGTTTATTTGTTTTTGTATCTTTTTTTCTAATTAAAACTTTTTAAGTGTTTATTTTTGAGAGATAGAGTGAGAGTGGGGGAGGGGCAGAGAGAGAGGGAAACACAGAATCCAAAGCAGGTTCCAGGCTCCAGAGCCAGATGCGGGGCTTGAACTCACGAACTGAACCACGAGATCATGACCTGAGCTGAAGTCGGACGCTTAACTGACTGAGCTACCCAGGCGCCCCTGTTTTTATATCATAATGAAAGTCAAGCCTCTTCTCAGTGGGCTGTATACATTTTCATCTCATTGCGTGCCATGGAGGAAGACTGGTTTTGACTAGTTTCAGTTTTTGGTGTTTTTTTTGAGAGCATAAGCTGAGGAGGGGCAGAGAGAGAGAGGGAGATCCCGACTGAGCCACCCAGGTGCCACAGAAGATTGTTTTTTCCTTAAGTTCGTAGATCTACTGTGGGTCCTTAGGCACTGATTATACTAGTTCTGAAAGTAGAGCTTATATCATGGTCCCCAGATGTTCATTCAGCCTTGGACATTGGAGAATTGCCAAACTTGTTTTAAAAAAAAAAATGCTTTCACCCACCTCCCATGACTTATGAAGGCCAAGGAAAGTACATCTAAGTCCCTTTCTGAAGGGGTTCCTTTTGGGGGCGCTCTGCTCCCTGTGTGAGATGAGCCACCATCTCAACAGACCACTGGGCAGGCATTTAATTGAGCACATCCTGCATGATGTCAGGAGGGATATGACATTCTCAGACAAGCCAGCATCCTCAAGGTGCTTCTTATTGGGGAGTGCAATATGTACATGTTCATATTTACTTATTTATTTATTTTTATTTATTGTTTTGAGTGAGAGAGAGAATAGGCGCAAGTGAGCAAGGGGCATACTGGGGCTGAGAGAGTCCCAGGAGGGGCAGAGGGAATGAGAGAGAGACAGAGAGAGAAGCAGAGCTCACCCAAAGTGGGGCTCATGTTTACCCAAAGTGGGGCTCATGTGCACCCAATGAGGGGCTCGACCTCACGAACCGTGAGATCATTACCTGAGCCTAAGTCAGATGCTTAATGACTGAGCCACCCCAGGCGCCCACATTCGTGTTTAAATATGTAATACGTAAAGCATCGATAATACCTGACATTTGTTTGGCTCTGTACAGTTTACAGAGATCTACCATGTATATCCTGTGAGGTAGGGTTTACCCTCCTTCAGGCTGAGGGATCTGGGACCCAGACACTGTGTGTGTGCATAAATAAGGAACCACCAGTGTGGTGGAGAACATAACTCTGTATTTGGGCAAAAGATGTTGTTAAGGCCTAGCAGTCAAAGAGTGTGAACAGTTAGGAGTTGGGGGGCATCCTTGCCCTGCTCCCTTGGGAAAGATTAAGCAGCTGTTTTCCTCTTCACTGGAGCTGGACATTCCTCTTGAAATTGGGTGTTCTCTCCTCAGCAGATAGGCTTGTGGTTTATTTGGACCTTCTGATGTTGATGTAATGTGGGATTCGAACATCTGCAAGTGATTTCCTTCAGGGTAGAAAGCAGTAGCTTGTTCCTCCTCCCGCGAAGTAGTGTCATCTGGTCAATACTGGGGCAGCTGTTGTGCCTCCCACCAGCCAGGCTTCACACCTGCCAAGAGCAGCCATTGCACAAGGGATCTCATTTTTGGAAGAACAGAGAGCTGAGGAGGGGAAGCGAAGGTTGAGACTATGTCTATGCGAGTGAGCATCCGAGTGCGCTCAGGGAGTGGTCATGTGAGAGGGACAATCTGGAGCTCTGAGGGGCATGGGTGGTGACAGGGGAAGTGTGAAGTAGGATGCAGTGGACAGAGGCTGCCTAGAAAGTTGGTGATTGTACTTCTTGCTCCTCTCCTAGTACTCATTAGTTGTGCAGATTCTCCGATCCCGAGTTCCTTTTCTGTGCTGTCTTTCCTTAACCTAATTGAAGCCTGAGGAACAACAGTAAACTTTGCACTGGAAAGGGTACAGTTTGATCAGAATTGGTCACCGTCACTCAGCCATCATCAACACCACCATTAAGACCACAAGCATTTATGTCCTCCCCAAAGTATCTTTATTCTCCCTTTGTAGTCCATCCTTCTCTTGACCTCGTCCCTGACAGATTGTTAGTTAGCATTTTCTAGAATTTTCTATAAATGGACTCATACTATGCAGTCTGTTTGCCTGGCTTCTGTCACTCATCATGGTGATTTTGAGGCATATATTGTTTTCATGTATCAGGGGCTTTTTCCTGTTTTGTTGTTGAGTAGCGTCCCACTGTAGGGATATTCTACAATTTGTTTATCCATTCATCTGTTGATGGGCATTACAGTTTTTGCCAATTATAAATTATAACTGTTATAACACATTTGATTACATGATTTTTTTTTTTTTTAGAATATATATTTCTATTTCTTCTGGGTTGATACCTCAGAATGGAATGACTAGACAGCTTGATGGGTCTTATGTTTAACTTTTTAAGGAATTGCCAAATTGTTTTCCAAAGTGGATGTACCATTTTACATTCCCACCAACAGTGTGTGAGAGTTATGATCATTTCAGGTTCACACCAACACTTGGCATGGTCAGTTTTTTAAATTTGGGACATTTTAATGAGTATACAGTGAAGTCTCATCATGACTTTCAAAAAGTATTTATTTTTGAGAGAGAGAGAGAGAGCATGAGCAGGTAGGAGCAGAGAGAGAGGGAGGGAATCCCAAGCAGGCTCCTTGCCATCAGTGCAGAGCCCTCTTCAGGGCTCGAATTTATGAACTGTCAGACTACGACCTGAGCTGAAATCAAAAGTTGACCACATAACCAACTGAACTACTCAGTAGCCCTCATTGTGTGTATTTAAAATCTTTTTAATTTAATTTATTTTCTAAAATTTATTTTGAGAGAGAGAAAACATAAGCAGGTGAGGGGCAGAGAGAGGGAGGGAGAGAGAGAATCCCAAGCAGGCTCCATGCTGTCAGCACAGAGTCTGACATGGGCTTGAACCCACAAACCATGAGATCATAATTTGAGCCACAGTCAAGAGTCAGACACTTAACTGACTGAACCACCCAGGCATCCCCCTCATCACGGTTTTAATTGGCCTTTCCTTGGTGACTGATGATGTTGAACTTTTCATGTGCTCATTGGCCATTTAAAAATTGTGTTGTGCAGCGTTACCATCTTATACCTATTTTATTTTAGTTTAAAATTAAAATTTTTAAAAAAGTTTTCATTATTTTTGAGAGGGAGATCGTGCACATGTGAACAGGAGAGGGGCAGAGAGAGAGGTAGGCAGAGGATCTGAAGCAGGTTCTGCGCTGACAGCAGAGAGCCCGATGCCAGGCTTGAACTCCATGAACCATGAGATCATGACCTGGGCTAAAGTCAGATATTTAACCAACTGAGCCACCCAAGTGCCCCACTTAGTTTTTTGTTTTTTAGTTTTGTTTTTTTTTTTATGATTATCATGGACACCATGTATTATTGGCTGGTAGACATCACTCCCGACTGTGGAGAAAGTCAGACAAGTCTGGGAGAAAGGTCCAAGAACCTTTCTTTGTCAGTGTGGATAAATCTTCTGTGCTCATTGTATCTGAGGTTTTCCACATTTGAAATTAGGTGGTTAATTTAGAATTATAAAATGACAGCATTTCAGAGCTTCCAAGTGTCCTTAATTGTCAGTGTAGATGATGAGATTGAGGCCTCTGAACAGTGGCTGAACCAGGTCTAAATCCAGTCTCCTGAGCACCTGCCACCTCTCCTTGTCCCATAGAATCTGCATGAGTGAGTGGGTTTACGTGAGAAGATGAAGTAGCAAGATGGAGCCGGGGCAGCACACACTTTGGGCTCCCATAGCCCTGGCGCCATTACTGAATTATTGAGCAGAATTCAAGAGTCGGACGCTTAACTGATTGAGCCACCCAGGAGCCCCAGAATACTTTTTAAAAAGAGATTTGAAGTACCATTTTTTTTTTAAGTTTACTTATTTATTTTGAGGGGGAGAGAGAGATCACAAGCAGGAAGGGGCAGAGAGAAAGGGGAAAAAGAGAGAATCCCAAGTAGGCTCCACACTGTCCATGCAGAGCCTGACACAGAGCTTGAACCCATGAACTATGAGATCACCCAACCAATATCAAGAGTCAGACACTTAACTGACTGAGCCACCCAGGCGCCCCTCAGAATTCTTGTGTTACCCAATGATGAGGGAGTTTCCCCTCACAAGGAGCAATTCTCCAATTCTCTGGATACCAACTAGATGTCCTGCACTTGAGTCATGACACTAGCTTGCTGGAGTTAACACAGACCCCACAGGTTAAGGGCTCAGTCTCATGAGACTGAGTCCCACCCCCACCTTCCTTCACATACTAATTACAAGTTACAGGTTGTCACTTGTTTTTCTGACTGAACAGCTTATATATAGAACGTTCCTGTGACCCTCCGCCCCCATCCTGCCTTCTTGGGTTCCATAATTTGCTAGAATGGCTGACAGAACTCAGGGAAATATTTACTAGCATCCATCAATTTATTATACAGGATATTTCCAAGGCTACAGA